AGATGTGTATAAGAGACAGGCCCTGATCTTGCGCCATCGGATCACCACTTATTTCGATCCCTGGACAACTCCCTTCGTGGTAAAACTTTTAACGATGATGACGCTGTAAAATCTCACTTAACTCAGTTTTTGGCCGAAAAGGATCAGACTTTCTACGAGCGTGGAATTTTCAAGTTGTCAGAGAGATGGCAAAAGGTCATCGAACAAAATGGAAAATACATTACAGATTAAACTTCATTCCAAGTAAAAAAAATTTTTTATTTCATTGAAAAAATCGGCAATTACTTAGTTGTCAGTCCAATACTTTGATATTTCTCGAACACAATATTAATAATACTTTTATCGCTCAATCGAGGAGCACAAGATACTCTTTTCGCTAACGCTCCGCCATTTTGGTCTACTGGGCATATGATAAAAATTTCGCGGGGAAAAGGTCAAGTCGAAGTATCGATCAATCGATATTACGTCACGTGGTCGGAGATTTAGAAATGGCTGTGCCGGCACAGATTAAACTTCATCCCAAGTAAAAAACAATTTTTTATTTCATTGAACAAATCGGCAATTACTTAGTTGCCAGGAACAAGGAAGGAAACAGAAGAGCCTCCCAAAAGCCAAAAAAGTCTCTCGAATCGGCATCATAGCGTCATCTGTCATGAACTTACACAATCATAACTGCTAGAAGTTTCAGCGTTTCGCCACGGATGGCGCTACAAGTCTCTGAAAGGATTCTTTGAATATTATAAGATTAGATTATAACAAAGAATATTAATAATAAGGAATGTAGATTAAGATTATAAAGTCACGAACAAGATATAGAAGTATACTAAACATCCAATGTAAAGCCATAACGAATTTCGGCTTGGTTCTGACTCCCTTTCGAGTCTCTAAAATGAGATGAGATCCGGGCAATCGATGAAATTTTCGATTTCCAATCAGTTATCATTATAAAATAATGTATTGTTACAGATAATACGTGTTGTATAATTCCTCCTGAATTTTCAGCTACAAACTTTGCCACGATGATTCGACGAGCTGGAAAGTCTCAAACTCTGGCTGCATCATCGTACATTGTATTTTTGAAGACAACAACACTGTAAAATAGCAACGAAATATCGGGGCTGCAGTCTTGTGTAGTTCCCTGGCTGACTGTTCTGCCTTGAAAGAGGGCGCGAGAGAACTTTTGGTTTTCAGCGATGTCGATATTTCAGAACATGCGACACGGAATCGTATCCTAAACCGTTCAGCAGCGGCCGACGCCAGCCGATCGTCTTAGCATCGTCGCAATTCGTAATGCACTAAGTTTCCTTTAAAATTATATTACATCTTAATTCTTAACAATTNGGCTGCAGTCTTGTGTAGTTCCCTGGCTGACTGTTCTGCCTTGAAAGAGGGCGCGAGAGAACTTTTGGTTTTCAGCGATGTCGATATTTCAGAACATGCGACACGGAATCGTATCCTAAACCGTTCAGCAGCGGCCGACGCCAGCCGATCGTCTTAGCATCGTCGCAATTCGTAATGCACTAAGTTTCCTTTAAAATTATATTACATCTTAATTCTTAACAATTTAATTTATTATAATTTTACGCACTAAGTTTCCTTTAAACTTATATTATATCTTAATTCTTAACAATTTAATATATTATAACTTCACGCGCTAATTTTCCTTTGCAATTATATTATGTCTTAATTCTTAACAATTTAATTTATTAAAATTACAATTTTGTAAGAGCTTACTTGAAATGCGACTGGTTCCCTCATTAGCCAAGTTCTGACTAATTGAGCAGTGACTTCGCGCCGAGCAATAATGCTATCCGGTGCCCGAGAAATTATTTCATCGCTTAATTTATTCATGAAAAGTACCAACGACGTTCAATTTACAAGAGTCTTGCATAAATCGATCGAATTGTTAAAGTTATTATATCGAATTCCTTTTGTTAATTAATTTATTATTTCTCGCTTTCTAATATTTGCAACAATTCTGTTTGATAGAAGTATGGTGAAGCACCCCACTGGCAATTTTGCTATTTAATTTTCTAGCGAAAATAGCCGATAGAATCAAACATACAAAGTAATATTTCGAGCACAAAAGTTTCAAGAAATTGTTGCAGCAGACGAGCTTCGTTGATAAATCGATTGCTTTTCGAATAATTTAATATTAACGAGAATTCTTATTGCAAATGGTATTATTAAATAATCCCGTGGCTATTTCGTTGTAACATTTAGTAGCGGAGGTAATTAATAACGTCGAACATACGAAGTAATTTTTAAAGCACGAATTTATCGAAGAATCGTTACATCAAAAATATTCTATCGA